TCCATAGTTGGCTTGGGATTGGTTCTTTGTTGCTCTCTGCAAATGGAGAGGGTGAAGGGTTACTGTGTGGTTTTGTGCACAGTGCCTTGGGGACTTAGCCTGACTATTTCTCCCAGGCCTTCTGCCTTCCTCCCCACCCCAGCTTCTTCTGCCCTCTGCTCCTCCCCAGCAAAGAGGAGCAGGGTATCCGGGGCTGCCCATGTCTCAGCTTGCATAGCTGGTAATTAGTGCTTTGTGTCCAGCTAGGCACCTTTCATCCATCCCACCTGCTGGTGTCTGCTTTCCCCATTAGCACCTCCCAGCTCCTTGCTGAGCCCTCCACCCTCTCTGTGGCCAGATCGTCTTGTTTGTCGAGATGATGGCCATGCAGTGCACCGACAGGGAAGGGCCACAAAGACGAGACTTGCTCACATTTTCCAGAGTAGGTGCCAGGCGACTCTTTCTTATCCCCACCCCAGAGGCAGCTAGGTTTAGGTCACCTGGCTTAAAGGCAGACAGCTGATAGCTAGGCCTCCAAATTTGGGGCCTTTGGAGGCCTAGTTTTGTCTTTCAGTTCCTCTCTGTTCGTGAAATGGGAGCTGGCTCACCAGCAACTCTCTCGCCCCAGCAAAAGGCTCCTGATGAGTTCGTGGTCTCTAGAAACCTGGGCACAGCCCCAAAGTTCTCAGCTCCGAGGCCACCAGTATTGGTCAGCCAATCCAGCAGCCCCAGTCTTCCTTAAAACCCTGTTTTCATTGTCCTCATAGTTAGGTAGCTGGAGTACAGTTGCTGTTTGAATTTTTATTAAATTTGTGTTTATGTGAATTACATGTAAAATCTGGCCACCTTTCAGGGCTCATTTAGCTGCCCGTGACTAGTGAACACTGGACCGAGCAGCACGGAAAGCATTTTCATTACAGCAGAGCATCCTTTTGGACTCCACAGCCTTCACAGCCAGACATGCCAGTCTGCTGGCGTCTACATTACCAAGACCACGTCCTGGGTCATCCTAAAGCTTCCTTTGCTTTTCAGTGCAGTGGAACCTTCTCCCATTCTCAAAGTGCAGGGATCCATTGTGATGAGGGGGCACTTTGCAAGGGGTACCTCTGCAGAGGTGTCCTCTGTGAAATTCATGTGCATATGGGACTCAAGATGTTCTTGGTGTATGGGTGACTGACAAGATTCCATTCCGTCTGTGTAGGTGGGAACTTGGTGCTCACCTATTCTGTTCCTGCCATTCTCCTGGGCATCTCCACCTGACACCTGGTTGTGGAGGGCAATGGTGGCAGAAACAGGAAGGGATAGAGCTGAAGAAAGTGCAGTTGGCATCTGGATGCCTCTAGATTAGCCCTGTTGTGGGTGAGAGTAGGTGCCTCCCATATCTCCTTCTGAAGAGCGTTGACTGTAGGGGGATTTTTCCAGTTGGTTGGTTGTTTTTCCTCCCAGAGCGAAGACAGGGCACTTTGGACTTGAAGTTTCTGGAACAGGGGCATTTCTTTTGTTCTCTGCCAGGCTCTGCCAGGCAGCCCAGTGTGCAGGACGCTGTTCGCCTGCCGCCCCAGCCGTACCTGTCATGTGCTTGGCAAATCGAACGAGAGTTCTTTCTTTTTCTTCTTCTTTTTTCCATTGCCTTCCCCACCCCATCAAATTGTAGGTGCGACCTCTCATTTTTCTGCTGCCTAGATGATTAAAAACCATGACTTAGTGGAAAAATGCTGACCTCCTCAGGGTCAGCCTCTTAAGCAGCTGTCGGAGATAAGATTGTGCTGGCAAAAGGCTCAGAAACACTCTGCAAGGCTTTCTGTCTTTTCCCGATGCTGTTCTGGTGCAGGATGTGTTTTTCGTGGTTGCTTAGTTTTGGAGAGCGATATAGTTTCTAGAGGCACAAATTTGTGTGATCTGTTAATAAAACAAAAGCTCTGATGGCAGGGTTAGAGTAATTATGAGAGTGATTTTTACAAATACAAGCTTTGTGAAAATATTTTTTTTTTCCTGAGCCTGGCCAGTGGTAGTACACATAGGCAGAAGCAGGCAGGTCTCTGGGAGTTTGAGGCCAGGCTGGTCTACAGACAGGACAGGCTCTGAAACTACACAGAGAAACACCCTCTCAAAAAAGCAAAACCAAACCAACACACACACACACACACACACACACCTTTTAACGTTTCTTGCTTCGAGGAGCTCACAGTGCAGAAGCCTTTAGCAACTACTGTAATGTTGGCTGTGGGATGCTCGGATCACCCCCACAAGGACTTATGGACCTGACTGTCGAGCTCTTGCTGTGAAAAGCATTGATTGCTATCATTTTCACGACTGTGTTCGCCGTGTGGCTTCACGCTCGGGAGTAGATACCAACTCTAGACCTGTGGAAATCGTTCCAAAGAAGGCATTAGGATTTGAGTTTTGCCTCGGTCTTCCAAGAATTGTATCACTTCTGTATTTATGACCTTGGACCCACCAAGTGTGATGAGGAGGCCACTTCATTTCTCTGGAGGAGAAACTGAGGTGGGAGCTTGAGAGGACCTGGCAATGGTCACGCAGCTGATGACAAGGGTCTATAATAAGGATCCAGATCCCGTGGCTCAACCCAGTATCCTCAAAGGAGTTCTTCACTCAAGTCCTGTAGTTATCTGATTTCTAGGAATGTGGTCTGCACTTCTAGCTCTAGGGGTCTACCACTACCTACTTCATACCGTCCTTATGAAGACGGAGGTCCTGCTCAGCAACGGCCTCCTCCATTATCAACATCACCCTTCCAGCTTGTAGTAGGATCTGCTGTTCTGCTGCTGCCTGGGCTGTCTCTAGTCCTTTCTGTTATTCGGTGTCTTGAGTAATCGTTAGAATCAGGTTCTCACGTCTCCTGGCCATGCCACAAGCTGTCCTGTGGAAGATAGAAGGTTGGTCCAGAGGCTTCCTTTTAGCTCCCACAGCTGCATCTCAGGTCCAGAAGGATGAAAGTCTAGACTGAAAACTTGGGGCTTCCGTTTATTGGACAGTCATCCCTGTCCATGAACTGGAGCCTTCCTCAGCCAATGGGACCCGTAGGAATCTGAGTCTTGCTTGCCTTGCTCACCTTTCCCTCTGGAAAACTGAAATGATAAGATGGACCCAGGTGTATCCTACTTAAGGATGAGCTTTGAATCCTGGTTTGGCCTTGTGGCCTTCAGAGTCCCAGGCTCTTGCCTAAGCTGGCAGTGATGTCTCCGTGAAGGGACAGATATCGGTAGAGCTTTGCAAAACGAAGCCTGCTTTCCGTTCACTGGAGAGTGCCTACATCCCCCCACAGAGCTCATGCTTGGAAGGGTCCTTATGGCCTCACCCCCCAGGATGGGCTCAGCTCCATAGAAGTAAGCAACACCCCCCCCCCTCCGCCAAAGCCTAGCTGACCTGCTCTCCACCCACACTTGTCGTTGTGAATGCTCTGCAAAGTCCAAGGGCAAACATCCGAGTGGGTGGCTTAACAGGAGCCGGTGGTCAGCTTTCCTATCTGACCTGTGTGGGTCCAGCCCCTCCCTGGTTTGTTTTCCTTCTGGCTGCTATTAGGATACTTTTTACGAGCCCTTTTAAGTCTTTAATGATGCGTGTTCCAGCCGCTGGCTTAAGGTTTAATCCCAAGCAATAGGCCTTTATTGGATAAATGGTTAATAATCACTGGTCTGAGGGGATTGAGACGCTTTGTGAGGCCCGTGATTCTCAGAAGGCCCACGTGGCCTGTGACAGGATCTGAGTGTGTGTAGGGAGATCAGACACTCCAGGAGTTCTGCAGAACTGGGGAGGCGGCCTAAGTATCTTTTCATACAGCAAAAGCCAGCAGCTTCCCTGCATTTCTCCAAACTCCAAATATCTATTTCCATCCACTTGAGTTCTATGCAAACAGACTGTGTGACCTTCAGTGAAGACTCCTTTTCCCCTAGGGGCCTGGGTTTCCTGTCTGTCAGACAGGTGGGATGAGATGGCCTTGAAGGTGCCAAGTATCAGCGATCTGGTGAGCCCCAGATTTCCCAGGCCAAAGCTCCTCTCTCCTTGGGTGTGTCACTGAGGGTTATGAATGGCAAGGGACCAGCAGGCCAGAGGATTAAGTGCTTAGCTACTGGGCAGAGAATTGGGTCAGCTGGAGTCACAGGGCAGTATTGCAAAGGGAAGCCAAGCTTGGCTCTTAGTTTTATAACCTGGCTCAGTGTTTCGGTCGGCACTGGACAGAACCCACAGTGGGTATTAATAAGCGGTGCCTCTTTCACGGGACTCTGGAAGGAGAGTCGAGTCCTCCAGGTGTGCAACTGGCAAGAAGCCAGGGTTGCTCACAGGTGAAAAAAGGGAAGGTTCCAAGAATTTTGTTCCCAGCTAGCTTGTGACCGGAAGCCTTGCCTTGATCTGAGTTTGGCTTGGACGTGACAGTTTCAATAAGATCTAAAGGGGCCGGTGATGCCGGAGTGTGGGAGCAAGCACACCTGAGCTTGCGTCTTCGTTAATGTCAGACTAGAACATGAGGAGCACTTGGTTTTGACTGTGTCAGTTTGAAATGATGAAGAGCCCGGTTGTTTGTTTCTTCTCAGCACTGGTAATTACTCTGGCAGGAGCGTGATGTTTTCACATCTGTTGTATGATGTGGACTGCAGGCATAAAATGCTTGTTCCGAAGCGAGGCCTGGCTTACGTGAAGACATGATTTTCTGTTCTTTTATCTAGCAGGAAAGCACTACAGCCGAGTTACACCCACCCTTTTGTTCAGTCGTATGGGCCACAAATTTTTAGCTTCAGGATTAGAAGAAATGTCTGGCTTTGGAATAATTTTCCCTAGAACATACTCCCTTGATTCCTTTCTTACACCCACAGTGTCTAGAAGGCAGAACATAATCCTTGGAAGATGGCCAGTGCGCTCTCTCTCTCTCTCTCTCTCTCTCTCTCTCTCTCTGTGTGTGTGTGTGTGTGTGTGGGTGTGTGTGTGTGTGTAAGGAAAGAGCCAAGCTTCTCTTTTCAGATATATATGTGACCAGATGTCTGTTTTGCTCTTTAAAATTTCAGATCTTTCCCGACCCATCAGACTTTGACCGATGCTGCAAACTGAAGGACCGTCTGCCCTCCATCGTGGTGGAACCCACAGAGGGGGAGGTGGAGAGCGGGGAGCTCCGGTGGCCCCCTGAGGAATTCCTGGTCCAGGAGGATGAGCAAGACAACTGCGAAGAGACAGGGAAAGAGAAGAAAGAACAGTAGAGTCCCGAGGGCTCACCTGGGTCGTGCGAGCCAGTGTACCTGAACTGTTTTTCCCATCGCGATGGAAGAAGAGAGTGAGCCACAATCATTCTGAAAAATGTCAAACGAGGCTTCCGTTTTGCACCTGAAAATCTCCGAGTCGGTTTTCTTTTGTCTTTTTTTTTTTTTTTAAATTCGTTGAGCAATGGAGCCCTCTGACAACTTGCAAGGCTGAGAAAGGAAGCTGCTGAAAACAGGGGTGTGGGTGGGGGTGTGGGAAAGGGGTGCTGCTTCTAAGATCCCTATCTGAACTCTAGTGCCAGAGGCAGTGTGTGTGTGGTGGTGGGGGTTCTGGCTGAGGGAGGGAGGTGAGCACATGAGCAAGAAACATTTTGGGTTTAAAAAAAAACGAAAACAAAACAAAACAAACCCCACATTTTTAAAGAGAACTACAGCCAGTAAGTGCTTAACAGCATTTGCTCTGGCTGCCGGGGCATCTGACAACCAAGTTTTCATCTCCAGTCTTGCTGCTCACCTCCACTAACCTTTGCTTTCATTTCAAGCCTGTTGGCTACCCACAGAGAAACGGGGCCAGGACAAACCGCCTATGAGCCTATGAAGTAAGCTGGGGGGCTCCACAGGAAAGGAAGCGTCCCCCTGTCCTTCCCGCAGACTCTGCCCCAGCTGCTTCAGGTTCTCAGCCCCCAGGGACCTGGAGGCTTGTAAGGGGTAGTACTTTTGAGTTTTTCTTCCTATTTACCTTTTTTGCCTCCTAATACATTGGGGGAAATAGTCAGAGCACTTCTCGCCCTTATGGGACACCCCAAGGCTGCAGCCTGAACACGGAGTGCCTCCCTCCACTGTGGGTCTCCTAAGAACTCTTACCAAGTCCTCATGGAACAGAATGGTAGAAGACTCAGCTCCCCCAGGCCTGCTTTTCTGTCTCCTTTGATCACAGCAGTCAGGGGGATGGTCCCTAGCTCTGCTATGAACTATCACCCATCTGACCTGCAGCACCACCCCAACGCGGTCTCCAGCCTGACTATTGTGGGAGGTAAAAGCAGAGTGTGTTTTCCTGGTTGGATGGTTGGCTAGTGGGGCCTTTCATGATGCTGATAGATTCGCTGAGACTCCCATGTGGTACCGGATTTCCCATGGGGTGGTTTTTACCCTGGGGTCACTGCTGCTCCCCGTGATGCACCTGAACACAAGTTGGGGGAAGGTATGGGGTGACCTGGGATATCCTTGTGGAATAGCAGCCTTTATCCCTTTCCCAACTCACCTGTTTCTGGCAAGGGTAGCAGTTGCATGGGGGAAATTAACATCTGGACTCAGCCTCTGATCATAGCTCAGAACCTTCTGGAATAGTAGGTTAGAAGGCAGAGTTCTCAGAGGGGGACTGTTTGGTCAAGAGGTGGACTTAAAGCCTTCCTTGGGCTTCCCTCAACCAACTGAGGCACTCCCAATGTCCCCTCATATCTCTGTCAGTCCAGCTTGACCCCCATCTTTGGACTAGTGTGTCTAGCTGTATTTAATACCTCAAAGTCAGTGTGGCTCTGGGCCACGTTGGGGCAAGAGCGTGGGGGTGTGCTGTTGACGCGGCATTCAGCGAGGTTCGGATTGGGGATGCCGATGGTCATTCCCCCACCCCCTGCCTCTTCCCTCTGTCGTCTGCCTGTGATACACACCGATGGCAATAACTTTTTCCGGCTCCTCGCAGAAGTGGGAGAGAGCTGCAGCCAACCCCGTGACGGGGGAAGCGTCTCTCTCTTGCTCTCGCTCTGCTCTGTTTTGGCTACAGAGATCTGTTCATCCCATGTTTCCCCTCCTGCAGCATTTCCTGTCCCTCGCCTCCCTTTATGGACAGCTGTCTGGCCTTTTAAATTCCTGTGTTTTGGTGTCTTCTCAGCCCTACCCCAGTTATCTGTCTTGGTCTTGCTGTGTGATGGAGACGTGCTTGTAAATCCAGTATCAAATCAGCTTTGTGTATATGTGTGTTTATGGGGTGGTTTCTTCCTTTCGCTGGTCACTAGACCGTGTTGTACAACTGTGTGCAGTCTGAGCAGGCCAGGGCCTGACAGTTAATGGCAGGCCCCTCAGCCGTTGAGCCTGCTGGGGAGACCCAGCTGCTCTTGGGCAAGTGGCTGAGCTCCTGTCTGGCCTCCTCCTCCTCCTCCTCCTCCTCCTCCTCCTCCTCCTCCTCTTCCTCCTCCTTCTCTTCCTCCTCCTCCTCCTCCTCTTCCTCCTCCTTCTCTTCCTCCTCCTCCTCCTCCTCCTCTTCTTGTAATCTGTGTGTATTTCTAACTGATTGTATTGAAAAAAAAATCCTAGTATTTCAGTGACATTGCCTGTTAGAGATGAACCTCCTGTGACTTCTGTCTGTTCTGTTTTGAGGCTCAGGGAGAAACTAGCATTTTTTTTTTCCAAACTACTTTTTGTCACTGTGACAGTTGTAAATAAAGTTTGAAAATGCTTTCCATTCTGGCCTGGGTTTCTTCTCCCCCACCCCACCCCGCCCATGCATGGGAATGGAGTTGGCTCAGGAGTCAGGGGACTTGCCCTGGAGAGGGCTCACAAGTGTGTCTCCTGCCGGCGCATTACACTAACACTTCATGGGAGACATGACTAAAAGTCTGTTCACCCGAGTCCAGCGTGGTGAACTGATGGGGCTGGAGAGATGGCTCCGTGGTTAAGAGCACTGACTGCTCTTCCAGAGGTCCTGAGTTCAATTCCCAGCAACCACATGGTGGCTCACAGGCATCTATAATGAGACCTGGTGCCCCCTTCTGGCTTGCGGGCACACATGAAAGGAATGCTGTACACATAATAAATAGATAAATATTTTAAAAAAATAAATAAAATAAATAGGAACATGACCCTGAAGTAGCCACATCACTGACACAGTCTCATTGCAGCACTAATGACGACTTCCCACAGTCGAGTAGACTCAGTCCCCATTTCATGTAGCTCTCCACCCTCTGCATACTCTCCCTCTTCCTGAGACCACTGCAACTGGGGTAGAATTCCAGAAAACCTGCAAGTACAGTATGCACGGAGGGAGAGAGCGGCTGGGCTCTCAGGGAAGGGTGGAAGGATCCTCCTCAGTACCTCCTTCTGACCTTGAGGATCTTTGTGTGGCCACAACTCTCCTGGTGAAAGTTGTGGTGACCGTCAACACTCAGAGGACAGCGTTCTACAGCTTGACCTTTCCGTGTGAGTCCACCTAACACCTGGTGGGACGGAAACATCCTTTCTTCTGTTAGGAGTTCTCAGTTCCTGATTCAGATTGGAATCCTCTGGAGAACCCCATAGGCAAATGCCAGGCCCTTACCCCCAGAAACTTGGATTTCGAGGGTTTGAAGTGGACTGGACATCTGTATTTTCTAGAATCTCTTGGGAAGATTCTTTTAGCACGAAGCCAAAGGTCTGAACTAACCCTTTAAAGGAAGAGAAACTCAAGATGTGTCATAAGAGTTTTCATAAAGGCTGGGGCTGGGGAGTGGCCATACCTAACTATGAACACAGAAATGAAACACGGTCCCAGCCGTTTGCCCAGTGCCCACTACTTGTCCCACAAAAGGGGAAGTAAACAAACTAGCAATGACGCAGGCTCTTGTGGTGTGTCATCTTGTAAGTGTCAAATGGCAAACGTGAGTTCAAGGTCAGGAAGAGGCTAGGCGCTCTGAGAATGACGGTTAGGTCAGTGGGAACGTTCAGAAGGCCTCAAGAAGACCTGACGAGAACTGACCGGGTAATGAAGAGCTGAGAGAGGAGAGGCTCACTGTGGGTGGGAGGAAGCTGCACAGAGGAAAGCCTTGGCATGGACTTGACTGGCACGGGTGGAAACAGACAAGGTGAGGAGGACTGCTCGGTCATGGGGACCTTTAGACTTCATTCTGTTCCAAGGGGAGGACCTTGCCTAGTGTCATCTACATTTTGACGTATATCGACTCAGTGGTGCAGGGAGAAGGAGGCAAGATGAGACTCTGGAAGACCAGGGCAGACTTGGCGGGTGTCAGAGGGAGAGAAGGTGATGCACATAGATGAATTTTTGAGCATTTTCTACCCCGAGGCTGCATATTTTTGCCTTCAGTAAGCCCTCATTTAGACTCCTAACACTGGTGAATAGACATAATCATGCGATCTGTGCTCAACTCCCAGCCAGTACTAATGGAATATCAATCCATGCAGATGTTAGCCTTATGAAGCTCCCAGATGGATGAATCTGCTACCCAGAGAGGAACTTGAAAAATTCATCCATTTCCATATTAGGTTGTCCCTCTATCTTACTCCAATATTTTGAAGTTTATCTAATGTGGACTCCTTGAACACACCGTCTCAAAAATCTGTCTCTACTTGCATAGATATCACTTATGTGGGAAATGCTACAAAGCTACAAAAAAGGAGAGAGAATCAAGATGTGATTTATGTGGTCATAGCACCTGAACTCAAAATATAGACATCTACTGAATTTCCATATAGTAATAAACAACTGGAAATTGGAATTGAAGTAATATAACATTTACAGCAGCATCTAAAAACTATTACATAGGAATAAATGTTCAGCATATTAAAAACCCGGCAACAAGTTCACAAAACTGAAATTAAAGAAGACATACATAACTGAAAGATATACCATGTTCATGGACTTGGGGACTTGATGTAATTAAGGCAGTACTTTCTTGATTGATTTATAAATTCAAGACAATCAAAATCACTGCATGAAACTTGTTTTCTTAAAAGCTGATGATCTGATGCCGACATGTCTATAAAAATTCAAAAGACTCAGAAGGGCCAAAGCAATGCTGGAAGAGAAAATAGTCTTGCAATTCTTGATTTCAAAATTTATAACAAAGCAACAGCCATCAGGACAGCACAGAATTTGCATCAATAGATTTATAAGACAGACTGCAGTCCAGAAATTACTTGACATAGGCCAGTTGATTTTTTTTTGACAAAAGTTCTATGTCAGTCCAGCGGAGAAAAAGAGTTCTCTCAACAATTGTGAAAGTAGGAGCTTCTGGTCACAGAACCCCAATTCTTCGTTTCTGTCTCATGTGCTCTTCTAGACAGAATGATTCTGTTTGAAAATAGCTCCTTCATTTCTCATGGTTGGCCAATCTCTTCAACATTGTCCTACTTTTCAAATCTCCCGATAGAGGTACAGCAAGGAGTGACTGATGAACTGTGTTACACGGGCTGATAGAATTTGGCTCTTTTATTTGGACTTCGGGCCAGTTTCATTCTGTCTAGACTCCTCTGCGTTCTTGCCTGGGGACTGAAGATAAGACAAACAGCTCTGAAATAGGATTGTGAATACTCAAATGCTTAGCTGGCCCCCACAGTCAGGAGTTTCTTTACCCTCTTTTTGAAGATCGTATGGCTAATGAATAATAGCTCTTGTCTTCTGGGCCCTGATTATTTCCTCTGGTTCCTTTGTGCACACAGTATAAAAGTAGCCTCACGGTAAAATGTTCCTCTCCCCTCAAGTGCAATTCCCCTTCTGACACCTTTTGTTCATCATTCTGAGATTTGAAAAGCAAAGAGAAGTAGGAGAATTTCAGGCCTGACTGTCCACCAAGATATTGGACAAAACATCAGGTTTGATCCCCAGCTTTGCAGATACAACTCGAGGTGGTACAGGGCTGTAATTATAGAACTCAGGAGGGAGAAACAGGAGGAGCAGACATGAAAGGTCATCCTTAGGTTATGTAACAAGTAATGGTTTAAGTTGGCGTGAACAGAGGAGAAAATCTAGGGGAGAAATATAGCAAATAGAAAGGCCCTGCAGGAGAATTTGGCTTGACCTTTCTGAGACAAGTCTGTAAGACAGTAGCTACAGCAGAGGGAGACATGTCTGTAAGACAGTAGCTACAGCAGGAGAAAGGTGGCTCAGATCAGGGACCTCATTTGTGGGTCTTAATGGCTATAAACCTGTGAATTTAAGGTTATATGACCCTCTGTGAGCAATGCTCAAGGAAGTGAGCTTCTGCATCAGGCAACCATGAACATCTTTTGGTCTGCTCATCCGAAACTGGTAGACCAGAAAAACTGCCCTGTCCTAACAGGGATTCTAGATCTTCAAAGAATGAGATCAAATAGAATTCAATCATTCATCTATCCCTAAATAACTCTGATTATGATAGGAATATGAGTTCTGGGAGAAGAATGCTTGACCTTTAGCCTAGCCCTTCCTCTCATCTTTTCTTCTCTTTGCCTCACTTTCCTCATTTATAAGCCATTATGGATTATGGCTACGATGAGCTTAAATGCATTTCTAAGAGTAACCCGCTTAGAACTGTATCAGGCCCTTAAAAAATGCTCAAGAAAGCTGGGAGGTGATGGCGCATGCCTGCAGAGGCAGATAGATCTCTGTGGTTTGAGGCCAGCCTGGTCTACAAGAGCTAGTTCGGGAACAGTTAGGGCTGTGACACAGAGAAATCCTGTCTCAAAAAACCAAAACCAAAACCAAACAACAAAACAAAAACAAAAAAAGAAAACTGCCCAAGAAATGTTAGCCATCGAGGCACACAAAATAATATTTCAACCCCAAAGATGTCCACATCTGGATCTCAGGAACTTGTGACTATGTTATGTTAAATGGCAAGAGGTGGGGTCATGATTGCAGATGGAACCGTAGGGTTGTTACTTTATCAGTTGACCTACGCCTGAGGATCGTGGGTTATCTAAGTGAGTCCAGTCTAAGTACAAGGGTCATTGCATTAAAAGAAGGGAGGAAAGGGCTGAGTAGATGGCTCAGTAAGTGAAGTGCTTGCTTTGCATGTACAAGGATCTAACTTTGATCTCCAGGACTCATTAAAAAAAAGTTGGGTATAAAAATGGGTCAAGTATATCATAGCCCTCCCCTGAGGCTCAGGGACTATTTAGTAGAGGAACAGAAAGACTGCGGTGGAGATAGGGGAGGATCCAAGCCAAACACTGTCTTCTGGACCTGACTTCTGTGCTCCACAAACTCACAGTAGCTGCATCTGTGTGCATGAGCTCAAACCAGTCAACATTCTAGCATTGGTCAGGGAGACTGGGTCATGAACCTCCACCTGTAGTTAAAGAGCTATTGACAGTTGATGGTTTCTGGAGCAGAAAAAAAGAAACCATAAAGTTGGGAGGTGGTGGGAAAAACGAGTAGGTCTGGAGGAGTTAGGGGAGGATTGGAAGTGAATATGATCCAAATGCTTTATATGCATTATGAAGCTCCCAAAATAATGTCTATCTATATTTATATAGAGATATAGCTATAGATCTATAGGCATATAAGTAGATCTATAAATATCTATAAAACAACTGCATCATTATACTATCTATTTATCTACTTATAGATCTATAACTAGATAGATCTATAGATATCTATAGATAGGTAGGTAGAGAAATAGATCTATAGATATCTATAGGTAGGTAGGTAGATAGATGATAAATAGATAGATCTATAGATCTCTAGGACCCATTTTTAAAAAGCTGAGT